TGGCGCGAATAGTAGCGCGTTTTAAGTGGCGCCACTATTCGCGCCAAAATGTGAAAAGTGATTTGAATCAAGAGATACTTTGCTGCCCGTCGATTCACATAATAAGCTCTTCAGAAAAAAAATTTGGACCGATTCTGTTCCCCGTATAAAAAGTCGATTTTGCGCTAATGAACCACGCCTATACTCCGACAAACAACTCGATGATCTTCTTATTGGTGTCGTAATGGCAAAAGCATCGAATAATGTTTTAAACGGAGAATTGTTATTCCCGTTTGCATATTTAATTCCAGAAGATGTCAAATATTCTTAACCCCCAACGTCACCTCCAGTCAGATCAATAACAAATTCACCACAAATACGAAATGAAAGATCGAACACGTTGTAAGTAATAATATTTATTGTACGTCCTACGTCTATACAAATGCTAACTTCATTTTTCTGAATGAAAGTTTTGTGGTAAAAAACGTTTTTCTATCTATAGCTCGTTTTCCGTACCAGAAGCGTTACATAGCCGGAATAAAGATCGATCGCGCAGTCCTCACCGCTCACACTTGGTTGGCACGCGTCAATCTACTTTAAACTCACCACACACGTCTTCATCTAACACCATTCATCCGCGTTTTCAACTTGAATCTTCGTCAACTTTGACTTTGCAACCAACTGCAGGTGATCTTAATCGCTCGAGAAGTTTAACATCACCTCAGCACGAACGACCAGCAACAATCGCCGATGTCACAAATTTTCAACAGGAGGACATCGGAAGATATCATGAAGCTAGTCGAAGAATTCCCCCAACGAGTGTACAAGGTGCAGCAATTTTTCGTCATGCAGACGAGATCTTGTCTGTCGAATAGACAAGTAAAAATGATTAGATGTTTTCAATGTCTATCTTTTTTATTCTAACCAGAATTATTTCTTTTAGGAAAATGGATGAAGAATTCGAGCCCGAAAACTGTGAGCTTCGCCGTCATAATTGCTTGGGCTTTTTTTATTAAAACGGTTTTATTCTTGTAAAGAGTCTTGACAGGAAAATAAAACTTCTTGAAAAACTTCTAATTAGTAACATGATTCATAGATAGCATAGACGTCTACAAAACAAAACAAACTGATGTACCATTTCCGATAAATCTTGTCATTTCAGACAGAGATCGTTTTTGAAAACATACACTTATCCACTGCAAGATTCTTGTCTCTTGCCATTTCAGTAAAGCCTTCCTCCACTCTGATTATGAAAATCCTTTTCGCACAGAGGTTCTTAAAGCAGTTTTCTTAAGTTAAGAACATTAGACAACCTGATGTTGTTTCTTCGTTTGTTTTATCAGCATAACCTGGGTCTTTTTCATCTACATCGTTTTCCTCTTTATCTGCATTTTTATTGGTGTGTCATCGATAAGAAACATATCTAACTTTTTTAACAGATCTTCCACATAGATGATTCATCATTCGATAGAGAAAAAGAATTATTTTCGTTCTTTTTTCGTTTCCCGAATGTGACTATATGTTGTCGTATGTAAGATACGAATTTACACTGCACGATAGAACTCTAATAAAATGTGACAAAGACGTAAAAACGTAAAAATCTACGCTTATGTTTGATACACATTATAATTCATACAATAAAATCCAAGTGAGTAAGAAGGAGGAAGTGAGTACCATATTTATCGTGGAGTTGTGTAGAACATTGATTGTTGTTTAATAACGTTGAAATTTACAGCTCTTACTTGAATAATATGCCGACGACTAAGGTAAAACGATCGATGTAAGTTTAAATATGTCAGCAACTGAAGTGATGGACGGTAACGACGCGTGAGGTAAAGTAGATAAAAACGAATACATTGTAATGGTTTTCTAAATGACAAAGCCAAAATATCCTCTATTGGAGATTAATTAGTGGGGTACCTAAGTGCAAAGCCAGTGGAGTTTGTGCAATGGATTAAAGGAAAGAAAAAGTCGAATGATAGTTAAACACTCAAAACAATCTGTAAAACCAAGTGTCATCATACTAGCATACTGAACATGAAACAATTCAAATCAATTTCATTGATTAAAATTTGCCTTTTCTTTGATTTAATTTTTCTAAAGGAATAATAAGCGATCAACAATAAGCCTAATGCAAGAAACAAACATGAAAAGCCAGTAATAATTGCTAAGTTTCTTGTATCAGTTGAAGTAAAATTGCTTGGTTTTCTTTCAACTGAATTCAGTTGAGGTAAAATTTCTTCGATTTTCGCTTAAGTTTGTGGAATAAGATGGAATAGTAGATGATGCTTCATTCATCTTACTCAATAAATAATCATAATCGTCAAAAAAATCAAGAGGTTTGTCCAATGCGAATGATGAATTATGTAAAATATCTGTGCCTGATGTTGAAGGTATCTATAATAGAAACATATTTCGATAATCTAGTCCTTGACGACATTTAGTGGCACAACAAGTGAAAAATGTAACAAAGAAAGATCGACAGAAATAATTTTGGACAGTCAGTTAAAATGCGTTCGACAACATTAAGATAATTGCATTATCTTTTGTATGATATGAATGAGAATACACCTACCTCTAGTCTTCTGACGAAACCGTATTGTGGTAAACTTAATTCTTTCTTAATTCTTCTTAATTCTTCTCCGAAGATATTCTTTACTGTCAACGTTATACACAGCCTGTTGGATAATCTTGTATAACAAGGATCAACTATTTTCCTAGGTGTGAGGGATCTGACTCCAACAAGAATTTTGAGTTTTTAGACTGTAATTGTTTGAAATTTATGTTAGCAAATTGTAAAAAGTTATTTTCAATTAGATCGAATCTGGTGGAAAAGTGTAGCTATGAAAGTTGTTCAGAATCAGATTCCCTGGAATATGAACAAAGGATTTTTCAAAAAACCAGACTTTTAAATGAAATTTTACTAAATTTTAAAATTTTAAAAACCGTATTTCTCAATTTAAAAATTCAGTTTAACGAATTTTGAAAAATCCTTCTTCCATATTCCAGGGAATCTGATTCTGAACAACTTTCATACTCACACTCTTTCTTGAAAATGCTTCCTTCGAGCGAAATTTGGTTCAAGGTGTTCTTGAAAGTCCATTTCCAGCCGAAAATAAGCAAGTTTGTAGACGACACTTTGAAGTATATATTTCAAAACTTTTTCTGAAAAAATTTGTGTATCTGATTTTTCAAAGGATCTCTGAAAAACCAGTTTATAACTAAAACGTTTCACATAGTAGTTTATCGATTATGTTTCACTGCTAGATAGTCCAAATTGTCCTCTACTAAATGAGATCAAAGCAAAATTTTCCTTTTGCTCAGCTTGCAAGATACAGACGGCAGAAGAATGAAGTCCCAATGCATCTGGAAAAACGGTTGTGTCTTGCAAGTTGAGGGAAAATTTTGCTTTGATCTCATTTTGTAGAGGACAATTTGGACTATCTAGCAGCGAAACACAATCGATAAACTACTATGTGAAACGTTTTAGTTATAAACAGATTTCAGTAAAATTTACGGTCTTGAATCCCTAAACGGGAAGATAAAACAAAACTATACATTCAGAAACAAACTGATTCTGTCTGGGTTTCTGGCAACGATTGAGCAAATGCTTGTCGAATGGTCACAAGCATCAACCAAACGCGGTTTTCTAACCTTTTCCACTGTCACCCATTCTCACGAGAAAGATGCTCATAAATGGATTCAAAATTTGGACAAAAGTCGGTTGTTGTACTGGTATGGCC